ATATATTTTTTAGTGTTGCATTTAATTGTTTAATCTTAATATATATATATATATCTTATTATACTTAAAAATACATAGACAGTGTTATATAGATTTTTATAAAACAAATTATAGATACATGTAAATTTTTTAAAAATGTTTAATCGTGTTTTTCCTCAACTTCTTTTTCTTCAGTAATCTTGTTTCTCCAATAATTACCTTCTGGATAAGCATACTCTATGATGCTCTCTTTCTTAAGTTTAGTTGAATATCCAGGACTCATAGGTGGCATGTAACATGCGTTTTTAATTTGAACAGGATCCTCAAAGTGTTCGTGCTGTTGATCCACAAATTCAATCACTCGATTTTCAGTGGTCTGACTTAAGCAAATATAGTCCCACATTTGGAGATGCTGAACCATCTCACATAAGCCTATTCCACCAGCATGCGGACAAACTGGTGCTGTAAATAAAAATTTCCATCTTATGTTTTGTTTTCCTTTTATGAGTAGAAATCAATTATAGATTTGTTAAGAATCAATTTCTTGAAGAAATAAAGATTGAGATCTGAAACTTCTATCTACTCTCTAATCTTAACCAAGTCTAAAGATTTAATTTATTGGTTATAATAGACTTACTTTTAGTTATGTATGCCATCAAATAAACAGCCAGGATTTCGTTAATCCCACCAATCCTTGCCGAATCAACCTGACAATAACTGATTGCGTGATATCTCAGAAACTGCTTGAACATAACGCGATTTGCACACATTTCGCCAGTTGCCACGCCAATATCATACGGCTTTAACTTGTTCAGTATCTCAGCATGTCCATTGATATCATCGGGAGACGTCGGTTCCTCTATCCAAGTGGGTTTAAATTTCGCCAATTTCTGCATCCATTCGATCGCTTCGTTCACATCCCACACCTGATTCGCGTCTAGCATCAATTTGTTTCCGTAGCCAATCGCTTTGCGTATCACTTCGCATCTTCTAATATCATCTTGTAGATTATTGCCTACTTTAATCTTAAATGCTGTATAACCAAGATCGAGAAATTTTTTACAAAGATCCTCAAGCTGCTGATCACTATAGCCCAGCCATCCGATTTGAGTGGTGTACGCAGGATATCCATTCTTCAGCAATTTCTTTTCTTGCTTCTGCCTATGTTCCATTTTCTCTTCGAGTATTATTCTCGCGTTATGCTCATCCACTATGTCTCTACTGTTTAGAAATATACGAGTATACACAAAATTTATCATGAGGGTAAATGTCATTCTATACTTTAGTTTACAAAAAATTTCGGCTTACATATATCTGAAATCTATAACAGATATGAGCTCCTTGGATGTCATGTCCGAAAGAAGCTTCCAGACAGGTTTTTCTTCAATTCGAGCCCATAAATCCCATAGTGCATTTATAATAGCCGCTGTAGCTAGATGTATCACGCCTTTCTCCGGGCCAACCTAAAATATCCCAAATAATTACATGATAATCTTCATATTTTAATTACTGTGTCTTTATTATACATTACCCATCTCAATTGCGAGTCGCTCGTTAAACGTCTCCAAAATTTCGCAAAATCATTGTAAATCCATTCTAATTTTCGAAGCCTTACAATCGTGGCTAGAGACTTACATGCTTGCATAACTGTCGAAATTATTGTTTAAGTAAAAGCGTATGTATTTAAAAT